ACCCTAAAGCTTGACAGTCATTACCTCTTCATGGGTCGACATTTTATTCCATAACACTACACAGTTTTGATGCTGTTTTATGTCTGATGATCGTGTTAGATTACATGTGGAAGCATCTGTTGTTTCGGTTTCTTTTTCGCTTGTGATCTGGAAATTCTGTACAGAATATGTGTAATAGCACCACCTACCGTATAACAATGAAAACATGGATTCCCGGAGCACAAGTATAGCTCAAATATATTTAGACTTTAAGTCTAAGTATAAGTCAAGTATACTTAAATGTCATTTTAAGTATATTTCTGAGAAGTACATAAAGCACATTTCTGAGAAGTACATATAAAGTAGACTGAAAGTATACTTTCCTATTTTTTTTTTAGTTTAAAAGAAGTATACTAATAGTACACTTGAATAAACTTATTTTTCGTAAGGGAAGTGATGTCTAATTTCAAGAATTTTCATAGATGTTTTAAAATTGTTTCGCTGCAAAATGTGTGAAGGAATCCAAATACCACGTTCATAAAATCTGCTCTTTTAACAAAAAAACATTGGTATTTTCCTCTAAATATTTCCTCTGCATTTCATTGCATGTTTGTTTACATTTAAATAGCATTAAACCCCGAGTAAAAAAGTAATATATTTAAAATACATTTATTTAAGACTAAGTATAGTTAAAATCTATTAACATATTTACTGACATATCGCTCGAGACTTACTGATATAAAAATTATAATTAAACTTTATTTGGAGTACTACTTGTGCACAATTCTTAATATTAAGCCTAAAATGTGTCTTAATGTCACTATTGATTGATGGATCTTTGATCTTTGAATAATATCAGTCTTTAATGCAAGATATTTAAAGTGTGCTTAAGAGTGACATTTCATCATTGCACTTTCGGAATATTTTACAGCTTTCGCTCTGTTCGTGTTGATAGGCCCTAAAAGGCAACACGCTCGGGAACTGCAAATATAGAAAAGCAATCAAATTAGGTTGCTTTTTTTATTTCCAGCGTTCTTAGTAAAACTGTGCTATACAGCGTTAATGACTTGGTCCTCCTGTGACATATCCACTGACAGAAACCGAATACAGGGACACATTAACGGCTCAATATGCCTCCGGGATATGAATGGTAGCAGTCCACTTGGTCTCAACTGATGTGTAGAGGGGCTTCCACACTCCATAAGCCATCAACTGCTCTTTTCTTTCCTTTCGTCCTAGTGCTTATATATAAACGTGAGCTGTTTTCCATCACAGCTTGCTCGCAGGCGTTCCGTTTGATGCCCTCGACTAAACAGGGAGTTAAGTGTCAGGCCTGCGGCGGTTCTCTCTCGGTGTGCATGTTGTATTGAAATAGTGTGCTTATCGTGCACTCTTGATTGTTTTGTACATCCTTCTTTTACCCTTCCACCTCAATCTTTAGAAGTCTTCCTGCCGTTTTCCTTCACTGATCTTTTGCTGTCTCTTTCCCATTACCCCTCTCTTTCTTTGTAGGTAGCCACAGATAAGGACAATGGCATTCTGTTGTATAAAGAGGACCATGACCCACTCGCCCTAGAGCTGTACCAGGGACACATACGTTTGATCTATGATGTTGCCAAGTACCCCCCAACCACAGTGTACAGGTGAGGATACGGCATATACACACACACTTTGTAGGCGATATTTGAAAGAAATAGACACTATCATTAAAAAAAAATTTGCAAAAATCTTACCTTTATGTGCACAACACCTGTAGGGGCAGTAGAAAGAGGCATCTTTGTTCTAGGGGTGTGCAATATAGACAAAAAAAATTATATCTTTATATTTTGGGGATTTTTTTCAATAATTAAACAATATTTTGCTTAGTGTGTTTTTATGTTGATACCTTGGCTGGTTTAGGCCTATCATGGATAAATAAATATGACACTAAAACCGCCAGTAGGTGGCAACAATTCCCTGTCTGTATGATTGGTTCATTGAATCATTCATTCAAACGATTCATTCAAAACAGATGATTATTTGAAAACAGCTGATTCAAGCTACTGTCTTTATGAATGGATCATTGAATCACTGACCCAAAAAGTGTTCAAAAGCAGATTCATTCATTATTTTCATTGGTAAAACAGAAAAAAACAGACATTATTGTGTCTAAAATGTAACTTTATTTGTTGAACTGTTGTCCAAAATTATCACATTCGCGACCACGCTCACGCAAATATTTCTTGCTTGTGTGATATAACGTAAACGTAATACAAATATAAAAATACAAAACCCCATACTGGGATATTTTTTGATTTTATAAGGGCATTTTAACTGCATTCTAATGGGCATCATCACACAGTGAATGCTTTTGGACTTTCAAGATGTTTTTTTATTTGTTTTTGCATGTACTCATACATACTCTATCATGTCAGCTTGCATATTGTTTAAACAACAATTACAGTATTATCACAGATGATAAATATCGCACACCCTTACTTTTGTACCTTATTTACGCCTAAAAAAGGGGTTACTCTAAGGTACTGCTATGAACTTTTTAGGGGTAGGTAAACTACGGAGTTGTCCCTTTAAGGGTAATTCACCACTGACAAGATGGGCTTTCAATAAAACTTGGCTGTCTATCAGTAGAAAGGCCTTTTTTTTTTATCGGTGCTACATGAGCAAACAGAGAAAAAGCGCTCTTGCCAAAAAGTTAGGAAAACACCCATAATGCACTGGGCTCGGACTGTCCATTAGTGGGAATACAAAATGCCTTGGAGTGAAAGTTACTTAAAATTGACTTAAATTTTAATTCATAAATAATTTAATATAATTGAAAATGGTTTTACCCAATATTTGTGTGTACTATGTATATTTATGTTTATGAGAGCATTGCATTGTGAACTACAACATGCTAACAGCAGAATCAGTTGCAGGTCTCCAGTGCGCCTCACATGAGGAATGTTATTTGTGGCTTCCTATGTAGAACATTCCAAATTAGTCACTTAAGAGGTTCCATTTTAGTTACGAAGCTCTCTTAGAAGTCAGCGGCCTCTGTAGCTCACCAGGTTTTGTAACAGACCCACAAACACAATCACACTTCTGTTCTACACAGTAAATAAACTCATACAGCCAGCCGTTTTTGCAGCACCATAATCTAAATAGACATATGCCACCCTAAATTATTTCAAAACATCAAACATACACACTCATTCATCTTCCATAAAAAATGACTGTTTCAAACGAGGCCCCCTGCTCTCATCCAGAATAGTTCAGGGTGAAAAACCCGTCTTTCGCCGTTCTCAGGGAAGTTTAATCCCTGTAAGCTCGTGGCACATCATAAAACCATATAGGAGCCCCGGGTTTACATGACCTGCTCGAATCTGCCGCGGGCGAGAGCTTGCTTGGTTCCCATGTGAACGCTTCTGTGCTGCAGCGCCATGATTTCTATGCTCGTTGGAGCCCCCATAAACACAGAGCTCTTAGCCCTCACCTCCTGCCCTTTCAGCAGACAACAGACTTGTTGAGTCTGGTGTAGATGGTGCCTGACTCCGGCCTGGTGGGTCACTGCGGATGTCATTAAGCGAGCAAGGCTCTGTAATGGGTTTCAGGAGCCCAGATTCAAGCTTTTAAATCCAGTCTGCACACAAACCTAATGACAGCGTACAGTTTCAAAGCATTTCGAGATCGAAATCGGTGTCCTTGTCTGTTAAGAATGGGTATGTGGCGTAAATCAGGGTCTCTGGCATCTTTTTCATCTGCGTCTGCAGAAGTAGAGCGTGAACTTTTGTGACTGGCAGCTGTTTTAGCAGGCAGTAGACATGAACAGCGGTGAGCTGGGTGCTCAGGCCGTGCCTGCCTGCTTGATGACTTTGTATTGATCCAGTGCCTCCCGTTGCTGCTGCAGAGGGCCACGCTTCACTTCTGCCTGCAGCAAGGGCTGAATCGATTGCTCTATGAGGGAGTCACAGCATGAAAAATAATGTTTCAATCAGATTCCTTGTCTTTGCGAAATGAGAATACATGCACTTAATTCCAGTGTTTCTAGTAGTAAATGCAAGCATGCATTTAAAGCACTTGCACACTATCTCTGCCTTTTTTTTTTTAGAAAAAGATAAAGGGGCCATTTACACAACGTTTTCAGCCAGAAACTTTTTATGCGTTTTGCCTGTTCGTTTACGTGACAACCGCGTTTTGGGGACTGAAAACGCATATTTTTGAAAACTGGTTTCAAAGTTTTTTTGAAAACGCCCCCGTTGTCGTTTCCGTGTAAACACCCAAAACGGGAATCTTTGAAAACGGTGACATCATGCACGTGTGTAGTACGTGTTAGGTATGTAGACATGCGCAGTACGTGTTGATTTTAAATGGCAAGCGAGAACAAACATACACAACAATGGCAGAGTATATGGTACTGTTGTTGCTGTTTAAGAGTTTGTTAACGCTTCTTCAGCAAAGTGTGGATTTACTTCACCAATTTTACAACCAACAATGGAGACGCATCATATACAACATATAATCGTCACTTCCCGACAGGTACTGTTTACTAACAAGGTGACAGTGCCAACTACTGGCCTGGCATACGTAATACAGCGTTTTTGGCCGTTTTCCCAGATATGTGTAAAAGCAAATCGTTTTGAAAATGTTGTCGTGTATACGTGAAACGCAAGGGAAAAACTTTTCAGTTTTTGACTACATCGTTGTCGTGTAAACGTAGCCAAAGATATAAGGAACAGACTGTTGTTTCAAGTTGCAGCCATCTTGGAATACACCAGGCAGCTACTTTCTATGTAGTTAACAGAGATACAAGTACAGCTTCTATCTCCTTGAATGGGGAATGACCAAAATCTCCAATGGTATCATTAATTTAGCTAAACCCTGCTAAGAGTTGTATTTTTGAGGCTGGTCCGAGCAGAATGGCCACTATATGAACACTATAGCTTAATGTGATGTAGCACATGTACTGTACTAACTACTAGGCTAGGACTCAGTTGTGTACTTGAACAGTTAAAGTGGAAACAACACACACAGTTTGACAATCTCATGTTAATCTTGAGTACCTATTACTAGTAGTATTAGGGTATTAGTAGGGTAGTATTGCATCCTTCATATCGCCAAAGAATCTTTAGTTGTATCAGATTTATAAAAGACAGATACAGCTATCGACCTCCTGGAGGTGTGCTGTGGGTGGAGCTAAAGAGTCACGAGCATGCAAAGCTTTTGCGTAGCGATCGTCTGCCAGCTGTGACATCGACACGAATGAAACAGGGCCAAAAAAATGTATCGACTTAAACAATGACTAACGAATTACTGTATGAAGCACGTTGATGGGTGTGCTCTTGCTCTCGCTCTGATTGATGTTTGCACGCTTTTCCAGGAGAAGTGCCCATATAAGGAATTCCACCCTTTATGATGTCATACAGGGTCATACTCGGGGGGGAAACTTTACGAACCTTATGCGAATCCTGAAGGAGTGTCTTTGGCACAGAAATACTTCCATACTTCCATAGTTGTCATACTTCCAACTCGTTTTTGAGTCATGTTTAACATGAGAATCCAACACTTTAACAGTGTAAATAAGTCCGAATACATGAAATAGCATTAGACATCCCGTTTAAATTAATATGCAGTGGTGTGACTAAATTAAGTAAGTTTTGTTGCCAGGTCCCTGCTAAGTCCAAGATGTATCATGGCACTAACAGTTAATCACAGATCCATGCTCACCCTCTAATTATCTTGTTTTTCCCCAAGCGACATTGTGCTGTGTGGCTTTGGCATATCTGCACCCCATTGTGTTGGGATAAAGAATTAGGTTCACATGTGAGGAGAGGAATGTTCTTCCGTCTCAATTTAGATTATTTGGCATTGGCACACCCTGGTCTGGCGAACGTGCTCCCAAGTTCTCCATATCATAGTTAGCGTTAACAATGTGTAACCAGAGCTAACAGAGCCAGCTGCTCAATTTGTAACCCGTCCTACGCCGCAACGCTTGGACGTGGGTGCAGCGTTTGGACAGCTCCCTTACTTTGGTTTTCCCACCGTGGAAGCTAGAGTTTTGAGGCTGTGGTTGGAGCATTCCTGAGCCGAGTCTGATTCAGTGGCTCTCTGCGGGTGCTTGACTTCAAATGTGGAACTGGGTCATAAAGACTCTGTGGGGCGAAGATCAGAGCAAGATTCCCACACCATCTACAGGTCTCGCTCAGCTCTTTATACACATCGTCCCTGCTGAACTTCAGCAAGAAATCCCCGATAGGGATCAAGGAATGGTGAGAGGGAAAGGGCGGTGGGAATGAAGACAGATCGGACCCCAGAGAGATGAAGAGCGACTGAGAGCCGACGAAGAGTGAAGGACACTTATCTCTGCAATGTGATCCTGCCTTGACGGAAGGTGCGGGTGAGGGGAGGGATGGAGAGACTGATAAATGCACTGGGGAGGAGAGCGACGGAGGCTCTTAACTAGCAGTAATGCCTCATTACCATGAGATGAATTCTTGGGCCCATGCAGCGTGTTAATGCGCTGCCCTTTACTAAATGTCACGCTAATCTGAGTATTAGTTTAAGCAGCGGTGTGGGCAGTTCCTCAGCAGAAGCGGCGGTTTGTGGAAACATCGCTGGAAATTGAATGAGAATGTTAGAATTGCGGCGCTCCTTGCCCCCAGCTCCT